CAAGCAACCCAGGACTGGGCCTGCCCCCAGCACAGATTTTGACTCCCACCTGCTTGAGAACTGCCCCCATCCCATGGGTCTCTGTTTATTTTCAAGGAGAAAGAGAGACCGCCTGTAAGAAGCATCTCTAAGGCATACCGCAGTCTTGGAAGGCAGGAGAAGGGGACAGAGAGAAACACTGCTTCCAAGCCACCGTCCAAACTGATTTTTAATGATTTCTTTCCTGGCCTTCCTTAATGTCAGCTAAACCTTTTCAATTATTTCATGGTCATACCTTGAACTGCATTTTAGCTTTACTTTTCTAAGAACAAACATTATACAACCTGCCCCCAAAGCATCAGGAATTCTCTTCCTATTCCCCTCTTTACAGTTAAGTGGTCATGTGAAGAGGTGGTAGAATGTAGGAAACTCCCAGCTCAGGATCATGTTCTGCTGAAAAGCAAGAGCAAGCTGCCTCCCTAAGCCACCAGTCTTGCTCATGACAAAAATTGGTCGTCTTCCTCTCTCAGTGTTTCCCTTCCCCTTGACCTTCCCGGGGATCCTTCCCACCTCTCAAGGCCCAGCACCAGACGCCAGAGCTCAGCAGGAGTTCTGATCACCCACCTCCACGCCTCAGCTGCACTGTCTGTGCCACTCACAACTGCCCGACTTTCTGCCTTTTTTGGTAGCTATTTGTGTCCGCGCCTGGTAGCTCCTGGCAGCCGCAGACTGTTATTTACTTTCCTGAGAGAACATCCACCACGTTGCTCTCCTTCTAAAAAGTGCAGAACAAACGGGAGCAGAATGACTGAAGGCACAGACAAATGCACACAGGTCTCCCCCGCGTGACCAGCACTCCTGCTCCAGGGCTGATGTTCTCTATAACAGTCCAAGGACTAGACATTTTCCCTCCCTTTGAGGAAAGTGCCTTTATTTTGTTTATCCAACTTAACGGACCAGTTGTGGGCTGATGATGTTATCAAGTTCCATTAAATATTTTTAATTTCTTAATTAAAAAAAACGTTTGATGCACCAATGAGAAAAAAGAAAAGGTTACAGCCTAGTAGGTTCACAATAAATACACCTCAAGTGAGTGAATAAATGAATGAGGGAGGGATGGCAGAAGTCTAGGTAGTAGGAAATTGGATAGAAAGAGAAACAGAGGAGTAGGACATGACAGACTGCACAGGGGATTTAGGAAAAAGTAGAAAGAGACACCCAAGTCTAATTAAATTCTACGTCTGCAATCCTAGTTTTATTATAAACTTAAACTTGATCAGTTAACAAGTAGAGAGACTGCTGGGTAAGAAAAGATAGACTGTAGAAGACAGATCTGGACTGTGATAACCACATGGCTACTTGTGACCTGGGACAAGGAACTCGACCTCTCTGAGCTCATTACTTTATTTTAAAACTTTTTTATTTTGAAGTAATTTTAGATTTGCAGAAAGTGTGCAAAAATAGCACACACAAATACACAAATAGTTCCTGTATACTTTTCACCCAGCTTCTCTTAATGTTAAAATCTATCACAAGTATAATACAAGTATGAAAACCAGGAAATCAGAGCTGGGGCTGTGGTTCAGTGGCAGAGCGCTTGGCGAGCATGCATGAGGCCCTGGGTTCAATCCTCAGCACCACATAAAAATAAATAAAATAAAGACATGCTGTCCATTTAAAACTACAAAAAATAAAAATAAAAACATTTTAAAAACAGGAAATCAACACTGATATAGTAATACTAGCTAAACTACAAGCCTTCATAGGTTATTACCAGTTTTTCCATACATGTCTTCTTTCTAGTCCAGGATCAATAGGATTCTACAACACATTAAGTAGTCATATCTCCTTGTTCTCCTCTGGTTTTGACAGTCCCTTGTATTTTTCTTATCTTTTATGACCTTGCCACTTTTTAAAAAAGAGTTGAATGTCCCTGCATTTGGGATATCCTGATGCTTTCTCATGATTAGATTAAGGTAAGCACTTCTAACAAGAATGCCATGAGAGGGTGTCTCACCCCTCTTAGCGCATCCTGTCAGGGGGCTCAGATGATTATTACTGGCACGTTGACTTTGACCCCTTGGTTGAGGCGGTGTCTGCTGCTGTTTTTCTCCACTGTACTATTTTCCCTTTGTAATTAATAAGTATCTGGTAGAGGGATGCTTTGAGACTATGCAAATATCCTGTCTCTCATCAAATTTATTTTCACCCAATAATTTTAGAGTTCATCAGTGGTTCTTGCCTACAATAATTGTTACTGTCATGTTTTAATGATGATTTCCTGTTTCCCCCTTCATCCTCCATGTATTAATTGGAATTCTTATCTATAGTAAGACCTATGCCCCCTTGATTGATGATTGATTGGTTTGATATTTATTTATATCAGTATGTACTCAGAAATATTTATTTTACTCTATGGGTCAGAATCCAACACTATCATTATTTATTTGTTGTCTAACCCTCACTTTATTTATCTGCAACACAAAGATAAAGTCAACTGTCATAGGATGAAATGAGATTAGAAAATGTGAAAATGTCCAGTCCGGAGAGACCATCTACTAAATAGATGCATGCTCCTTTCTTTTCCCTTCTTTGCAGTGCGGAAAGCCATGATATTTGGAAGCAAGACCATTCTAAAGAGGTGCAAATCTGAATTTAAAAATTATCTATTAATGTAATACAGCTTTTATACTTTAATGTAGAAAAGATTTTTTTCTTTTTTAAATTGGTGCATTATAATTATACATAATAGTGGGGATTCATTATGCTATATTTATACAGTCACAAAACATAATTTGATCAATCTCATTTCCTAATACCATCCTTTCCTCCTTCCTCCCCTAACTGGCTTGCTCTACTCCTACTGATCTCTCTTATATTATTGTCATTACAATTTTAATTAGTTACACACACACACACACACACGAATTTAGCTATCTCAGTGTTGTCTTGTGGAGATCGTTTGGGTTTGGACTATGATGACTTAAGACTGATTTTTAATCAGCATCCCCACAATTTGTATGAAAATAGATCCTTGAGAATACTTGAAAACAGTCTGTTCTTTTAAGTAGTTTAAGTGTTTTCCCAGAAATCTTGTTTACGTTCCGAAGTTGCTTAGCTAAACTATTTTCAGAGATAGTCCAAAGCATGCCCCAACCCAGCTGTGGCTCAGATCATCACCAGCACTGAATTAGAGAAATCACTGATTCATCTTTGATTCCCAAGGTTATGGCAGTGAGTGGAAGAAAGCCAAGTTTACTTTAAAATTAGATTTTAAAAGTTCTGGCAATTTGCTTTAAAGTTCAGGTCAATTTGAGAAAAAAAAAAAGACAAGAATAGGGTCCTAAAGTTGTGAGAGTAGATCTGGAAGTTTAAAATAATTCACAAAATGCAGTAAAATACACCAATAAAATCTCTCCATTTACGGGAACTTTCATTTTCCACTCCATTTTTATCGGTAAGGAAAGTCAAGAATGTCAGGAGATTCGTTTTAAAAAACAACTCTGGGGCAGTGCTGTTTGCTGGCGCTCTGTGCACTCCCAGAGTTCTGTCTAATACCCTATTGGGGTGGGTCCTGATGCAGGTGAGAGGCAAGGTACTGCAGTGGTTCAAAACCCAGGCTCTGGGGCCTGATTATTAGGGTCTGAAACTCACAACTGCCACTCACCACCTGTGTAACCTTGAGCAAAAAACTGTCTCTCACTCCTAAGTTTCCCCAGTGGTACTGTGGGGCTCACGACAATGTCTGTCATCCAAGGTTGCTGTGAGGCACTGGTAAGTGGTCCAAGTAAAGTGGCTGGTATTACAGCAGGAGATGGGTACCAGCTTCTCCTAGGGATGACAAGTGTCTTTTTGAGGAACACGGCTGGTCTCTCTAGACATGGAACTGATTGTTGGGCTCAGTCTCTCACACTTTCTGCATCCATTGGGCCTACTATTTAAATACCAGAGTCTTCACCAGCAAGCTCTGGAGGCTGTAAAATGAGCTACAAAGTAACAAAGGTTGATGGATCCTAATTAGAATAAGTTATAGTCCACATATGAATAATATTTCAAAATACTCTCCACTGTCATGAACATCTAAAAAGAACAACAACAGGATCCTCTGTTGTTGCTGGTTGTCCTTGCAGCATTAGATAGAATTTACTAACTGACTAAAGTAAGATACTACTCTGTCTGTAGAATTCAACCAATCAATAACCAACAATACCCAGATTAAAATTCTGTGATTTAATATTCAAGGAAAAACACATTAGGTTTAAAACAAAATACAGAACAGAAAATTCAGTCTATGGCTACACTATGGACAGACAGAGTCCTTTAAGCCTCAAATTGTAGTATGCCCAGCCTCCAGTATGCATGGAAACCCACTTGTCCTCCCTGTCCCTCCTCCTTGCTCCAGGGCCACAGGAATGCCAGCCATTGACTCTTTCCTCTCTGGGAATCCCTAAACCCCATAGAGATGCTCCATCTCAAATGTTCCCAGACTCCAGTCACATCTGTCCTCTTTAGGACTGACTTTTGGCTTGGTCTCAGAGGTTGTGGAATGAGTGACTTTTGGGGCTGAGAATTTTCATGGGCTGCAGAGAGAGGAGTGGGACAAATTTCCCATAGTTTCCCATGTGTGGAACTCCCAGTCGTGTTGGTTTTTAAGTTTCTGCTGAGGGGTCCTGACAGTGGGAAAGGGGGAGTGGGCTAGACAGGTGTGACCAGGGATCCTGTTGCTGAAAATCAAAATTGAGACACCAGTCTTAAAACCTTGGGTGGGACTGGGCAGAGTGGTGTCTAGCGGTTGAAAAATCTGGTTGTCCAAAGGGAGAAGAATTGGCGTCCTCAACAGTGACAGGGAATGGAGATATGAGATCCATCAGACACAAGGGCAGACAGAGTGCAGTGAAGGGAAGAAGATAGTGTGGTCACCTCACTACCTGGAGAAAAGCAGCAGCCCCCATGGAAGCGGTGGGAGGCAGTTGGAATCAGAGAAGAGATACACTTAAAAACAGCCAAGAGTGGCTTCTTACCTCATTGAATCGCATCACAAGGTCCTCAAGGGCATTGTGCTCTCCACTCTGAGAGGTGAGAATTGACGCCGAGATGGACGCTTTGAGGCACGGCAGGGACCTCTGGCATTCCGGTGTACCCAAGTCCCGGGTTAGGAAGCAAAGGTAGTCCACTGGCAGGACCTTTCGGTAAATATTCTGCTCCTGCTCTGTCAGGATGCTGGCGACTTCCTCTGGGAACTGGATGAGGGGTTGCAGATCGATCAGTTCCTTGCTGATTCCAGCTGAACTTGAAGGGAAGGCGTTGGAATTGGCCATAGAGGTACCTGGTTGGCGTTCTGAAATAAAGTGACAGAAGTCACGGTTACACGAGGGATGGTATCCCTGACAACAGACACTTGCTTGAGAGCCATTCAAAACCTTGCAGGTTTTTTAGCCAAATCCTTGATGGGTATACTATCTTGCTTATCTGGAGACCTTTCTGATATTTGTCCTGCTGTCCTCCCACCTCCATGAAGTGGGGATAGGGCATACTTTTCCATTTTTAGAAACACTATTACTCTGGCATATCATTCTTCAACCAGTTCACTATAACACTCTGTAGAGTACCATTTGCTTCTTTATCTTCCTTTGCTAAGGGAAAAGAAGTGAGGGTAGGTGAGGGTACAGACAATTAAAATGGAAATGGAAGGAAAGTCATACATGTAATGTGCTTATTTCATGTAAGCATTAGGTGACCTGGGGACCCCTCTGAACACAAGGTTTAAAACTTCATGGTATATTCTGCCAATTCTATGCAGTAGGACTACCTATAAAAGTAAGGAAGAAATGGGTAATAAAATGTATTTAAATAAATCAGTCTTATTCCCTGGTCTACAACTGGAAGGGAGAAGGTGGCAGAAAGAAGCAGAAGAGAAAGTGGCAGGTACATTAGATAGAAGTACCAAAGGTAGGAATTCCTAGGCTCAAAACAATTCTCTTAGTCATACATGCTTTCTTTTTATTTTGACACTTTCCCAGTCTGCCTCTTTATTCCTGCCTGTACCACGTTCACTTTTTCACTAATTCATCTACTTAACCATCTATCCATTCATTCATTCATTCAACAAACTTCGAAAAATCTATGATGTGCCCTAGAACAGAGTTTCCCCAAGTATAATCTTCAGAAGACTGGTACTTGGAAGAAAAAACATTTTTGTGGTCATGAAAGTCAGGGACTCATGTCACAGATTCATGTCACACATCTCTTCCTGGAGAAATATGAGGCACACTGGTGCACTGTCACGAGCTCTCATGGGCCCTGTAACAAAGAATTCATTTACAGCAGCTTAACCTAGTGCTCCCCAGAGCCACGCTGCATATAGTATCTACGACATCATTCTGTGTGGTCAGTGTCCTTGAAACCTCTTCAGGAAATATTGCCCTAGAGTCCAAACTGCCCTCCTTCTCCAAACAAAGCAAGCCTTTCCTTCTCTGCAGACCTTCCTGGGAGTCTCCTGCACATGTTATTTGCCCTAAACCTTTCCTACGTCCCTTCCTTTTCTTACAAAACCCTTAACTGCCCCTTGCTAAAATAAAGTCCATCTTTCTTCTGACTACACTGCTACTGGCCACCAACCTGTCATCAGAACTGGATTCTGGGTAATAGTGATGTCCACAGAAGGACTTCCTTGACCTTCAGATCTCCTCAGTATTCCAGGATTCTTTTTCTCTCTCCATTGCAGAAATCTTTGGAAGTATCACTCCAAATGTATGTCTGTCTGTCTCTGTCTCTCTATTTCTCTCTCTCTCTCTCTGAATTACTGAGCTCTGAAGTCCTTCTCCCCCCCCCCCCAATTTCCAAAACAAAGCGACCACTATGTTGACAGGACACCTGTGCTGATGTTCTGGGCTCTGATATTTTCCCCTCAACTCATCCTTTCCTAAGCAGCCTAATGGCCTTTGAAACTCTGCACAGGAAGTTCTTGATAGTATTTGCTACTTGATTAAATGAGCTGCTCCCCCTTTTGAGGAATGCTTTCAGTCCGGTAGCAAAAAAAAAAAAGCACAAACTCTTTAAAGTTTGAGTGACATTGCTCTCTACTGATGCAAGTTGGACTTGTAAACATGTTTCAGGCAAAACTTGCTGTTTTGTCTTCACTATAAAATTTGTAGTGTACAAACAAACATTCTCCTTGATTGTGAAAAGCAAATAAGTGAATAAGGAATGTATTCTAAGCATTTTTTCCACATTTTGGACCAAACTACCAAAAATCTACTGCAGCAAAAAGTGGGAACTACCAAAATATATTGGGTTTTCTCTAAGCTCAGATTCCAAAAATGTAAAATAAGGCAAATGCCCCAATCCAGCCAACTTGGCTTCACTCTCCAATTTTCTAAATAGTTTAGAAAGTGACTAGCTTTCCTGAAAATTGCATCAGAATGTGGCCCAATGACAGAGGCAGGTTGCAGTTTCTGGACACTGATAATTTATGTACAATGGAATTATCTACATATTGGAACACTTCTCAGAAGTAATCAGCTCCAAGACACGATTTCAAAATACAGAACTTTACAGAGGAAATAAAAATAACTCCCAAATCTTATGAAACAGTCACTTACTTATCTAATATTTTAGAGAAGAGATAATGCAATAAAATATAGAATATTAAGATGATATATTGCAAGTAGCAATACATCTTGAGATATTAATCACATGCTGTTACAATGAATGACAAATTCAGTGACTGGTGAGAAATAGTAATAAAAGAGAGCTAAAAAAAACTGAATAAAAGAAGAAAAAGAAGCCTGGTTAGTGTAACTTTAATAAATCTGGTGACCCCATGTATCTCAGTGTAAGCACGCCAGTTACACTCAAAGGAAACACAAATTAGAGCTAGAGGTCTTGAAACACATGCAGGCCTTTAACGTAGATTTCCTTAAAGCAGGATTATGCAGGGATTTTATACCATGCACCATAGAGAAAAGTCCCAAAAATATTCTCAGAACATAATTTTCTGTCTGTCAAGTTCCACACGTTTAGCAGCTATCATGTCCCACTTATTTCCTTGCTGGGCTCTCCTTCTTCCTCTTCACATGCTACGTTGCCATGGTGCTCAGCTGTGTGTCACCTCCCCACCTCCCTATCTACAACACAGGACACCTGATGATGGATTAAAGACTCTGTGACACCTGACCCTTCCTCCATGTGTATAGCAATGTTCCTAGAGCCCATGATTATGTAGTTCCCTTGTGAAAGCATTTTTAGAAAATTTCTGCTAAATAAAAATATCACCTCATTGACAGTCAGTGCTCTCAGCCCCTTGGTCTTCTGTTAATAGTCACTCTATAGCAGAATAGGGCTCTCTTTCCAGGTACTGTCACAGCCTTGACCTGTGTATAATGAGACAAAGTGACTCCAATTCCCTGCTTAAATAAAAGCTTCCTGTGCTAAGTGCTTTCTATGGATTAATTCAGGACATAGAGAGAATTACCCTTCACATAAGGTCCTTGAAGTAGTAAGTTAGAGAGATGGTGCCTGAGCAGGGTCTTTTTGACTCCAGAACTCATGTTCCTGGTCACTCAGCATATTGTCACACTGGCATTCCAGTCTGTAGATACAGCTCAAGAGATTTTCGTGTAAATAGGTTCCTTGTCCTTTAAAGGGAGATCTGGTAAATGACCTCAAAGGTACTCACAGGGTTGACAGCTCTGTTTCTCGATCAGCATGGAACCATCGTCACTTCAACCATGTTACAACTATGTGATACTATAGTATATAGAAATTCAGATGAGCCCTCTGCCACCCTTTCTGGGAGTTTATAAAAATGTCCCAATGCTATAAACCTGTATTTTCCAAAGTGCATTGCACTGGATTCATACAAAACACGGTTCTTTTGTTAGTAATTTAGGGGAAATATTGAGTTAAATGAAGCTAAACAGATCCCCCTCCCCCCCCTTTTTTTTTTTAACTGTCGGGTTTCTCAAAGCCCTTAATAATTCCCATGGGGGAAACATAGTGTGACATAGTCTTCCTCAACCTTGCTGTCTGTCTCTGTGTCTTTTACATGGCAATCACAGTCTCTGAAAAGTGTTCTTATCACACTCCACAATTCTCAATGGGAGAAATGGTGCCTAAGGGATTGGTGATTTCAAGAGCTTAGTTTGCCCCTTTGCTGGAATCCTGTGTAAGGGTCCAAGGATGAGAGGGTGGTGGCTTATTTAGGAAATTGCAAGTTGCTCCCTATGGCTGAAGCTTACACTAAGAGAGGCAGGGTACTGCTCGAGAAAACACGGAAGGAAGCTTCATTTTCCAGAAGGATCTAGAGAATGAGTGAGTCTCATGGAGGAACAAAGGCAGACAGGAGTGGCGGGAAGAACTAAACACAGATGCATCCTAGACTTCTGGGTCTTCCATGGATGTTGGCATCTCAAGGGACAGGAAGCCCACACCAAGTCTTCCTTTGAAGAGTGCTACTCTGAGAAGATGAAGCATCCCCCAGAGCCCTCCTACCAGACCATAGAGTCCTCTTCTCCTCCCTTGTTCTCTGGTGATCAGCTCAGCAGCCCTTGACCTTGTTAATTAGCTGTCATTCCTAGGGGTTGTACACAAATTGCAAAACCCACAAATACCCAGGTATTGATTAGTGCTTTTCCTATACTTGTTCTTCTAGTGCCTTTGGGGAACCCTCTACCCTCCAGGCTTAGCACTTATGAAAACAATACTGATTCAGATCCTGATCCCATCCAAGAACCTTCAGCTTGGGCTAGAGTCCAGAAAAACCTTCTGCTTTGCATTTATTTCTCCTTTTGCTTTTTGGTGCCCACCAAAAGTCAAAGCATTTGGGGTTTCTTGCTATGTCTCTCTTGGTGTTTCATACCCATGGGTTCCTGGGGAGGCTTGTTATTCTTAGTGGTGAGAGAAGAAGGACTTCAAAGAATGTGCTATGGTAGGTAAGGAAGAGGAAACTGCCCACTTCCTTTATTTCCAGTCATTAGGTAGGGATCAAAACAGAATGACCTGGCACACAATCCACCCTGTATATACTCCCCTGCTTATAGATGAGGGGCAGCCCTCCCTGTTATACTGGCCAGCCACTGCCAAGGAACATGCGAGTAATAAAATGTCCAAACCTCCTCCTTTGAGTCTTCCAAGTTCTTTCTTTGGGAAACCATATGCTGGGGTTTTGCAGTCCTGGAGTTGAACAGCTTCATATTATATCTAGAGTTTATAAATAATCTCTCATATAATCTCTGCATAATGTGAAAGAGTAACTGCTCCTACCACAGGTAGGAATTGATGCTTTTATTTTTTTATAAAGCTTCAATCAAGCTGTTATGTGGCTTGCCCAGGAATCCA